GGAGTGGGAGAGTGTAGGGGGGAGGGTGTGGAGGGGGAGGGTGTGGAGGGGGAGGGTGTGGAGGGGTACGGTGTGGAGGGGTACGGTGTGGAGGGGGAGGTGTGGAGGGAGGTGTGGAGGGGGAGGTGTGGAGCGGGCAGCTCTCCTTGGTTCCATGATGGGAAGGAAGTCTGCAGCCCCAGCACGGACAGGGTGAGGCTAGGGTTGGACAGTACTGTTTCTAACCTGGCCGGCCAGCCCAGCAGGAAAGCTGGGTACCGAGGTGGGGAGGGCAGCAGCCACCTCGCAGAAGGCCCCCGTCCGAGGCTGCGGACAGAACAGGCCAGAACCACACTGGGACAGGGCGGGAAGACAGTGCCCCCCCCCCCGCCCAGAGGTGGGCTCAGCTGGACTGGGGCTCGGAAGGAGGCACACCGGGGAAAGGCTCAGCATGGTCCCGCAGCCAGGGGTCAGGAAAAGCCCCACGGGAGGCATGTGAGGAGGCCGGTGGTGGGGACAGAGTCTGGCAGCGCGCGTGACCCAGAAACCACAGTGGAGGCCGAGGACCACGGTTCATATCTATCCTCTAACTGAGGTTAGACCAGGCAAAAGAAAGCTTGTGAAATCCCGTCTCAAGCAAGAGCCAGGCACAGCGATACGTGAATCATCCCGGCTGCCATGCAGGCCAGGCCTGGGACAAAGCAAACCCATCTCTAAATAACCAGTGCGAAAAGGGCTGGACACACGGCTCACGCGGTAGAGCGCCCAGCTGGCCAGAGCGAAGAGCTGAGTTCAAACCCCAGGAATACCACACCCTGAAGCCCAGCGTAGCAGCTGGCCAGGGAGGAAGACGCGGTTCCCAGACCGGCGCGGCGTCCTTGAGCCCACCATAGGTTTCAAAGAAGCTCAGACTCCGTGAAACTTCATCAGACCCTCAAAGACGCCGCTGCTTAAGCTACTAATTCAATCAGAGGTTTACCATCTTAGCTACTGAGCAAATAAATACCGACTTAAGTCTGCTACTGCGAATAAAAGGTAGAAGTTAAATCCCCAAGCTGGGGAACGGCCTCTAGCTTCTTAATCCTCGAGCTGAGCCGCTGTCTTAGAAAGCTGCCAAGAGTCAGGCTGCGGGGGGGGGAAGCGGGCGCCCGGCCGACGCGGTCCCCGAGGGCAGGGTGGGTTCCCCTAGGAAGCCACCCCAAGAAGCCATATCCTCCCCGCCACCCACGAACGCAGGGCCAGGGCATCGCAGGTCCACAGACATCCCACAGAATGCCCAAGACTGACACAGGAGGAGCAGAATGGCCAGGATATTCCATTACCCGTGCCCTGATAAATCCCGTCTGTCTGTCTGTCTGTATCAGAAGCTGGCCTCCCCAGGGAGCTGACCCTCACCCTCATGCAGGAGGGAGACGCATGTGTAAACAATGGATCTTGCAACCAGAGAACGCTGTGGAAAATGAGGTAAGCCCCTCAAGTCCAGCCACCTGCTCTCTTCTGGAATGCGGCTCACACCAGGAAATCCGTGGCTTTTCACCCTCAGGGAGGGAACGAATGACCCCTCGGGAAAGCTGGGCAGGGTCTGGCTCTGTCAGGAAGGAGGGAAGGCAGAGCCCCCCGGGCCGGGGGCCGGGCTGCGGCTCCCTTACTGTGACCTGTATCCCCTCACGCACAGGGAACGCCGTCACTTTTATTCTCTCAAGGTGTGTTATCCGTCCTCCTGCCTGCCTTCCCTTCCCTTCCCCTTTGCCTCCTCCCCACCAAAGCTTCCTGCCACTAATTCAAGACTCCCAGTGGCAGCTGCACCCACACGTAACACCATGTTGTAGGTCTAAGGGGTTCCGATGACGTCCGGCACTCACCACGGTGGTGCCATGCTGTCACACTGGTGCCAGGCCACCACAGAGCCCGGCTCCCCGGTGTCCCGCCCCCCCTCCAGCCCCACCCCTCTTTGTTTTCACATAATCATAATCTCCATTAGAAAAACCACCACAAAGGCTCCAGGGAAACTAACACTTACCGGCTCAACAAACTCGAACTTCTTCTTTTCCTGAACTTCTTGAATCTTAAAGACATATTCTAAGGACGCCTCGTAGAAGTTTTGATGTTCTCGGTCAATCTGTGTGTCTGCCTGAAAAAGGAAAACCAGCCCATGAAAGATGCCGCAGGGCTGCAGATGTGAACACCCGGGGGCTCGAACCCCAGGGCAGACTGCCCACGCTCCCTCTGGCTCACAGAGGTTAGAGCGCATGAAGCTGAGGACCACACGCACACACATGCAGGCAGGCAGCACCCTGAGCAGTCCTCTCTTGGATCCCTGGTTCATTTCAACCAGACGCGCGAGCATCCTGACATGCAGAGCTGGCCACCCAGGGACCCGGGCCGCTCCAGCTCCCTAATGCTCTGATAGCTTGGTTTGTGCGATGTGTTCTGATGTGTTTGGACGCCTCCTGTCACATGACCCCACATCACACATCCACACCCCACGCCACAGCCACGTCCACACGCTAACCCCTCCTCAAAGAGAACCTGGAGCACACGGGTCGAGTGGAGGGACTGTGGCCGCCCCACCGCGCTTGTCCACATGGCTGGTGGCCAGGCCACACTGGGCCCTCCTGGGGCTCCCCCCATGGCCTGGGGTGACGGGTCATGGTCCCAGGCCCGGATATGGATCCACGTGGAACCTCACAAATGTTCGTTTGTGCTTTTTTTGCCCAGGCTGGCCTCAGACCACAATCCTTCTGATCTCTGCTTCCCAAGTGGCTAAGATCACAGGCTCGGGCCACAGCACCCAACACAGCCTAGTTCTTATGAATGGCAAGATGTCCGTCTCCCATCCACTTTGGCTACAAAACCCATCACTGCTTTAAAAAGCCAAAAGCGAGACTGTTACCTTTTCTGCATGCGGAAGTAAAGCTTGAAAGCAAGGTCTCGGATATGGTAAATTTCACGTACAGGCCACCCTATCACCAACTTGGTCATTCTTGCCTCTCTCAACACGTCCAACAGGGAGCAAAGGGGGAAGTCTTGTCTCGGTGCTGATCAGAACCCGTGGCATGAGGGTGACACTGTCTAATGTCCTCGTCCACAGCAAATTCAACAAAGTGAGCCATCCTTCCTGTCACTGCACCGAAAGGAAGCAGGCTTGCAAACTGGGACTCCCGCAGGAGGAACCTACCTCTTGGAGATGAGACTCCTTTTTCTTTGCCGACAGGTTCAAATGCTTGTCGAGAATAGAGTAGTATTTTTCACTCTCCTTGTCGAACTTCTTCTTTCCATCCTAGGAAAAGGCAATTACAACGCGAAGAAGAAAGATTCACATCAGAGCATCACGCGAGCCTCCACGCCCCCCACCCCCAGCCGGAGCCCAGTGCGGTCATCTGACAAAGACCTAGTGAGCTCCAGCGCTGTGCGAAGTCTTCACCCCACAGAGCGGGAGGGAATGTGCAGCAAAGCGCTTGAGTTTGTGTTCGGCTCTCGGAGGAGCTTTCCATCCCTCAGGAACACAAATGCACAACAACACTCAAAGCCACACAGGACCTGCATGTGGGGGCCTAAGCGTAGTAGGACCAGCAGCTTTGTAACTGAGAGCCAGTGGTGGCTCTGGCCTGGGTGCCGCCGAGAGAGCGTCTTTCATTTACTTGGTTTGTTAGGCATTCTGGTGATGGATGTGGGTTAACGTGCATGCAGTGTAAGGAACCGTCCCGTGACCTCACACCGACGCCATTCCCCAGCCTGGAAGAGACACTGGATATTGTGAATAACTCATTCTTGCCAGGGAGAAAAATGACACTTTTAAATGACAGTAGACTCAAATATGACAATTCAAAGTCAAATTAAATCAAAAGTATTATGTCTACATTATGCTCTTTTAGTATTACTTTTTCTTATTCCTACAATTTCAGGGGTGTGGTGGGTTGGCATTGTGCGGCCTGTGTGCGGGCTGGCATTTGTGTAAGCCTAAAATATCAAATTTTATTACTCACATTAGAGATAAGATTATCTAATAAGAATAGATAAGATTATCTAATACAACAGATTAATTTTAAAGAAGTAGACAGCAATAGGCCCTAGTTGGACGTGTGATTGTTAGGACAACAGACCTCCCTTGGGGACAGACAACTCCTAAAAGGTGCTTGTTTCAGATCAGATCAAACAAAACCAAAGTCTTAGCTTTCACACAGATAACCACAGCCAGTTTATCTCCTGTCTGACCACAGGACACTTGGCTCAGAGCACTGCACTGTAATATGGGCATGAGAATTCAAATCTAAGTATGCACTGTAATATGTTTATAGGATTGTATATGTGTGCACACACGTATATTCTTGTCCTTAATGTTCTTATCTGGAGACAATTGATAAAGACTCCTCTACATTCTCTCCCTCATAGACAAAGCCGAATCACATTCTTGATTTACTCAATCAGTGACCACTGAACGCAGGACACTCAAAACAATAGCGTGAACAAGGCAAACATCACTTGTGAGGCTCTCCTAACCCAGCAGGACCAGGTGATCCAGCACAGAGCATTATCAATGTTGGAAACTAGAACATAGGCTAGGACCAGAACCACTTCTATGAACAGCAGGCAATTTAGAAGCTTGTTTTGGGGTTCTTTATGGTAAAACTTTTGTGCATCTAAAAATAAAATGATGCCTTATACCTGCAGTAATAATAACAGCAACAGCAGTAATGACAATGATTCAAAAATACTCCTTAACAGTCAAAAGCATGCAAGATTCACCACTGAATTCTATGAGATACTAAAAGAACAGCAATATTCTTACAAATATTCCACAACAGGGCTGGGAAGGTGGCTCAGTGGTAGAGTGCTTGCCTTGCATGCATGAGGCCCTGGGTTCGATTCCTCAGCACCACATAAGGAGAAAAAACTGGAGAAAAAACTGGAAGTAGCGCTGTGGCTCTAGTGGTAGAGCACTAGCCTTGAGCTGAAGAGCTGAGGGACAGCGCCCAGGCCCAGAGTTCAGGCCCACGACCGGACCCAAAACAAAACAAAAAAAATTCCACAACAACAACAACAACAAAAGGTATCTATAGGCCATTTTCCTTGATGAATGTTAAGTGCAAAAAATCCTAGCTAAAATACAGGCAACAAAACATTAAGGAAATCAAACAATATGATTGCATTAGTTCCATTTGTGGAATGCAAGGATGGCTTAACACACACATACTGACTAAAGTAAAAGGATGGCTCAACACACACACACGTGACAGAAGATAGACAGAAGCAAGGACAAGGATCACAGAATCACCTCAATACATAAAAAGCCACTGGTAAATCCAGCATCCTATCAGGCAGAAAATCCTGATGAAATCTGGAAACAAATCACATTTCAGTATATAAAAAGACCAAGCATCTCAGATCTACAGTCAACCAGCTATTGTTGTCCTGTCCTCTGGTTTTTATATCAGTAAAACTCATCATAGGATGAGGTTGGGAGTACTGCTTCTCTTGATACTGTGTGGAATAAAGAAGAAAAAGGAAAAGAAATGTGAAATTAAATGGAAAGGCCAACACAGGTCAACACTGTAAATCAGTGCTGCTATAATCCCAAGGCCAAACCAGCCCAGCTTTGGAGTGATCTGTGAGGAAGCACTTGCTCTGAGCAGCCAGTGCTGAGCAAGGAGGAGGAGCCCGTGGGGTCTGACTGTGGTCCCCAAACGCTGCTCCACTGAGAACTCCTGCTTGCACTGTTTTGAAGACTTCTGGGCTGTTTCTTTTGGCTTTTTTTTTTTTTCTTTTTGGTGCTGGTAGTGGGGCTTGAACTTTGTACTCTCGTTTGGCTTTTTAGCTCAAAGCTGGTTTTCTACCATTTGAGCCACGTTTTCACTTCCAGCTTTTTTTCTGCTGAATTCAAGTTAAGAGTCTGCTGGCTTAAGGCCATGATCCCTAGATCTCAACCTCCTGAGTAGATAGGGTTACAGGCATGAGCCACCAGTCCAGTTTAATTTAATTTTTTGCCTGCTGTGGGGTCCCGGCTGGCTTTGGAACTACAGTTCTTCTCACTTCCATCTCTCAAGAGCTGGGATTACAGATTAAACACAGTTTCTTTTGGCATTTTGAAGATTTGATGCTTTTTCCATTCTGTCTGGGTAAGCCTCCTTTCTATCCTCAAAAGACAAAGCATTCCACACTTCTCTTGAATCCAAAAGTTGTTGTCTTACTCTTAGTTCTCTGGAGGAGAATACGTAAGGGTTTGGAAATATTTTGCAGCATGAGTGATAAATTTCACTATTGAAAAGTCCAGATGAAATGAGAAAATCCAGAGGGAAGTGTGGGGAAGGGATGTGGAGGGGTCTGGCTCTGCTTTGCTTCCACAATGACAAATTTTCATTTTCGTGATCTCACCATCAAGTGACTCCATTTTGGCTCCTACCTAAGATTTCTGACCCAATTTGCTAGCTCATGTGAAATGATTCTTTTCAACACCTTCTTAATTGATTGTGTTTATAGGACTATGAAAGCTAATTCCTAGCTATGAAATGTTGGCCCCTATAAAATAAATGTGAGATTACAAGGAAAGAATGCTACATGATGAGCTACGATTGGATTTTGGGTAAAAGCACAGATATGGCTTATTCTAAACCAACGGCAAGAACAACCAAAAATACCATCTAAAAAATAAAAAAGCTTTTCAGTTTAATTGCTGCTGTTATAAATGTTGAGGAAGTAAAGACTTAAACAACTTAATAACTAGGAAGGAGAAAACAACAAGTAATGCCAGGCCCCACTTTGCTTTTACGATCTCGAGCCTTGGCAACGCCTGGGGAATCACAAGGCTACCGTGGGAGAGCCATGTATAATTCACAGGCACGAAGTCCACGTGGACACAGGCACGGGCCCCAGGAGTGGAAATCTTCGCTCGCTGACATCGTTCACTAATTACCTGTACCTGGCATTGACTGAATTGTAAGGATTAATCTACGTACAGCCTGTTGTCTGCTCCGAATTGTTGGGTTCTGATTGGACATAATAAATGATCCATTTTCCCAAACCGCTCTATTGTCCCCAGCCTGCCCCCATCCTGCTCGCTGGCTGGGCTGGTCACTACCCCACCAGGACCCACAGTTAGAGATTCTCTCTTAAAATTCCCAAGGACTCACATGGGCAAAGGAAGACAGCAAATCCCTACCCCCCAAAAAAAACCACAAATCCCCCAAAATAAGATTTGCTTCCCCAAAGGAGTCTGTTCTCATGGCATAAATTAAACCCCGTCTTCCCCAGAGATTAAATGACCACCCTGAGATCAGACAAGTCATCCAGGAAAATGCTCAAGTGTCCATGCATTTGATTTTCAAAACAGAACTCTTGTTATTTATGGTTTCATTCAACCCCTGAAATATCAAGGGGGAAAAACAGAATAAACACTACTTGACACTATTTCTAATAAAGGTCTTAACAAGAGAGTCTCAAAATAAACTCATAGGTATTACCAACCGAGACCGGTTAACCAGATTTCCCAAAGAAAGCAAGTTTTTCAGAGTGCAGAATCCTTCTACACTGCAGAGTCCTTCTACAGTGAGTTCCCTTCACGTTTCCCTGGGTGAAGTCCCAGAGCTGGGAGCGTGGGCCCCGCAGTGCCCTGGCCTGGGAGCAGAGGCAGGAGCAGCTCACCTCTGTGAATGTCACTGGTGGGCCAGCCCTACTTTCTCCAGATGTTCTGTCCAGCTGCAAACAACTGCTAGCCACTAAGCCTGAGTCTATATAACCAGAACCACAAATTTCCAGATCTCTGAACAACAACAGGCTTTGTCTCTACAAAGCCAAATAAACAAAACACTTTTGTTCCATGTGTGTGTGGGGGGGCACTGAAGACTGAACACAGGGCCTTGCATGAGTGCGTGCGTGCTTGTGCATGTACGCATTACTGAATTGAACGCAGGGACTTGAACATGCCAGGTATGTGTTCAGCCCTCCCACCCTACCCCACAGCTATTTTGCTTCTATTCTGCTTTGTTGTTTTTCATTTACTTTGGTTTGGCAGGGATTCCTGCACAGTTTGCCTGCACTGGACTTGAACCAGTGATCTTGCCTCTGCCTCCTGATGGCTGAGATTACAGATGTGAGTGCCATGCATGACCGCCTCCCCCCCGATACTTAACTGGTTGGTTTTCTACGAGGAAGAAGGGTACAGTGACAGGGATATCTCTCCTCATCATTAAATTTTAGGGGGCCTCTGTTCCCCCCTCTCCCCATCCCTACACCTCCCACTGCATTTGGGAGTGCCTACAAGCGGACTTCAAATACAGCACCAGTCTGATCCATCCAATGTATCTGCTTGTCCCTCTCTTCTGCTAAGAGAGAGTCACAGGGGCATCATCTTGTGCTATCTGTACTGCCCCCGAGCAGGCAGCGTGCCCGGGGAAAGCCGATGAGCACCATCCACTAGACTGCTTCGGTGACTCAACCTAGAAGCGGGCCAACCAGACTGCCGCGGACTTCAACTGGAGGGAGGGCGGGGTGGCCGGCGACAAGCCAGCAATCCATCACACCTCTGCCACACCTCCGCCACGGGCCAAAGACCACATCAACGTGGAATAAAGAGACGGCAGGGTAAGAAAAGCCTCCTGAACACACAGACACACACAGACACACACACACACACACAGACGCACCCCCCCCACACACACGCGCGCGCGCGCGCGCCATGGAAGGGCCCTGCGTTAGGAACGCTGCCATTCTTTTTTAGTTAGAGGGCCAGCCATTGTCCCGGACAGCCTGGTGTGGGCCACTTTCAATGCCATGGTAACCGGATGCTCTTCCTCTGCCTGCCCTCGGCAGCTCTGCCGTAGGAGGTGGCTGGCAGGTTTTATTGGTAAATTAAACATGAAAGTTCTCTGGATTCCAGCTGCCGCAGAGGGCTTGAGTGAATTTCCAAAGGGAAATAGTCTGAGGCCCGTCATAACTTAAAGGCGAACTCTAGAGAAAGTTCCTAATATCTGTCACTGGTTCAGGCTTCAGGTATCTTCTAATTATCTCACTGTATACTGACCACCAAGTTTCAAAACCAACCGGGCACACACACAGACACACAGACACATGCATACACAAGAGCCCAATAGTGCACAGCTGAAATTCAAATACTGACTTCATGCATTTTGCGACTGTCCACAGAAAAGGTGCAAAGGTTAAAGTGTTCTATAATAAAAATGATTTCTTAAATCCTTCATCTCTTGTCTTCTTTCTTAGATCATCCTGCTTAAAAAAAACAGAACATCTGACCTTTAGAAACATGAGCAACTGCAAAATACCTGAACTCCCTGAAGGCTGCCACGATGCCAGGCGACCACCGTTAGGGTCCCAGCTCGGGACTGACCAATGCCCAGTACTTCTATAGTATTTCTGGTGTATATGGAAGACGAATGTGAAGTAAAATACTCGTGACTTACTGAGTTCTTCTTTGAATTTTCAATAGAAATGGAGCATTATCACTTTTTATAAGAAATCTAAGGCTGGAACACAATTGTAACCATTCTCCGTGGACTTCCTGAATCTTATACAGGAAGACAGCCACGTTGTAAGACCTTCTGTGGACCGAAGAAAGACATTTGCTGGATTCCATGACTGTCACCCGACATGAAATCAGAGTGAAAAAATCAAGTCCTAGTCTGGAGTTCACTATTGCTACAGTGTTTATTTCTAAATTTAAACCATAAGATAATGCTCATACAAGTTCTAGTAAAGCCGTTTAGAACGAAAATCAAAGCGAGGCCTGGTGGCTCAGCCTGTCATCCTGGCTGCCGGGGAGGTAGAAAGATGGTTGGGGGTGGGGGTGGAGACTGAAGCTCTAGGTCGGTTCAGGGACTCGATCCTGACCTGTGGCTGAGGTCCTGCGTAGCATCCGTTTAGGATGAGCGTGACAGAAGGCAAATTTGATCAGGAGGTGTTTGGTGCTGGTATGAAATCCTCTTGGAGGACCAATCACACAAAATGCAAACGATGGTAAAAAGCTGTTTTACCATCATTGACTAAAATTAGAATCTATTCTGTGCCTAATTCCCATCTTATTGTGATCAGGACCTAAATTTCGTGTGTGTGTGTGTGTGTGTGTGTGTGTGTGTGTGTAGCACACATATATGTATATACATATATATGTATACATATATACATATACGTTATGGTATATACACAGATATACACATATACATACACATGTGTGTATATGTACACATACACACACTCATGCACACACACACGTATATATATATATATATATTTTTTTTTTTAAATCAGAATCTCATCCTAGCTTCCAAAGTTATTTCTCCGTAGCTGTTGTATGGCAGAACTCACTCACAACACGCAGACTGCTTTGCTGTTCTAAATAAGGGCATCATCGCCGAGCAATAGCACGCAGTCTGTTCCTGACTCTGTACACTGGCATTCAAGGCATTCACAAGGTGGCGTTCGTGTCTGAGCGCTGGCATCCAGAGCATCACCCTCCAGATCACTGGGAGACTGAGGAGGGGTTCCAAATGCACACTTACTTTGGCCGCCCCAATCTGCTCTTTCCGGAATTTCTCCAGAGGTGCAATCAAGACGTCATTGGCGTTCTGAATCTGAAATGTAAAATGCACATGTGCTAAGTTGCGTGTAGTCCCATTAGAATGACACTGAAAAACTGACTCTAAGAGGACTTGCTGAATACAGACAGTGTGTCCCCACATCCATTGCTACTTTTTTTTTTTAACCATTCTGGGATTGAACTCAGGGCCTGGGCCCCGAACCTAAGCTCCCAAACTCCTTTTGCTCAAGGCTAGCACTCTACCATTTGAGCCACAGCGCCACTTCTGGTTTTCTGGTGGTTCATTGGAGATATGAGTTTCCATGGACTTTCCTGCCTGGGCTGGCTTTGAACCATGATCCTTAGATCTCAGCCATCTGAGTAGCTGGGATTACAGGTATGAGCCACCAGAGCCCATCTTGACTATTTCTACTTTATAATTACATCAATTCCACGTATTATTTTACTTACCATCAATAATGGGACAACAAGTACTTATTTTGATGCAATTATACATTGAATGTTCAAGTTTCTTCTTCTAGAAGTTAACTAAGAAATAGTACCCTGGGTACTAGCCAGTACGAGCAGCTTTTTGAAAGTTGAGTCATATAAACCTCGTTTGCTAACAGAATGCTAGAACTCCACCGCTGGAAAAGAAAAGGCTCCAACAGGGCTGACTAGTATCTGCTTCCACGTCAACAAAGAGAACTTAAGTCCCATGTTCCAACATTTCCTTAAAACTTTGAAAATTATATAATATTACCATTAATCATTGAGAATACTGGTTGGGCTGATTGCCAGTGCTCACTCCTGTAACCCTAGCTAGTTGAGGGTTTGAACTCAGGCCCTCATGTTTGCTGGACTGAGGCTTTAACCATTTGAGACAAACCACCAGCTCTGTTTGTTGCTGATTATTTTGGAGATTATATCTACAGATCTTTTCTTCCTGGGCTGGCTTCAAATCTGAGTCCTCCGATTTCAGCCTCCTGAAGAATTTGGATTTTAAGTGTGAACCATCAGGGTCCAGCTCTGCTTTATTTCTTGAATTGTATAAGCCAAATGCACATAAATAATCAACACAAACACACAAAAAAACCCTCCCTCTCTCCCTCTGCTTCCCTTCCTCTCTGCTTTTCCTTTCTTTTTCTAGTATATAGGTCTTGACATGTCTTATTTCAGTAACACAAACATGGTTAACTGAAAATTCCTAGTCATTACCTAAACCTTGGATTTAAACAAAGTTTGATTTTTTAAAAACACATTTGGGGGGCTGGGAAGGTGGCTCAGTGGTAGAGTGCTTGCCTTGCATGCATGAGGCCCTGGGTTCGATTCCTCAGCACCACATAAGGAGAAAAAACTGGAAGTAGCGCTGTGGCTCTAGTGGTAGAGCACTAGCCTTGAGCTGAAGAGCTGAGGGACAGCGCCCAGGCCCAGAGTTCAGGCCCCACAACCAACCAACACCAAAAGAAAAATATATTTTGGCCCCTATTAAAAGCTAAAAATGTATTCATGAGGGATGTCACTCATTTTCAGTGAAAGTGAAGCAAATCGAATACCAGGCAAAGCAGCAAGTCCCGTATTTCCCGAGAAGACACTGGCTGGGCTGCGGGTAGGTCAGCACATTACAAGCAATTACTGTTTCCTGGCTTTTTTGTGCTGTTTCAAGTGGTCCTAATGAACGGCCCCCAGGGGGTGCTCATAAATCACTCAAGAGCAACAGCTAGAGACACTTTTATGTGGTTAGAAGAAAGCTTCTCCAAATAGGCTCACATACATTTTTCTCCATGTGGCTGTTTCCCCATGGGCTGCGGGTTTTAGGCGCTGGCCTCTGAATTCTCAGCGCTGAGAACTTTACTCCATTGTCGGTCAAAGTAACCAGTTGGATAAGAAGAATCTTAAAGATAATTCCCTCGCGCTGCTCCTGCTCTTCCATTTCCTTCCCTTCCCAGGACTTGGGTAAAATCCAGGTTGCTGGTGCCAGGCGCAGCTGGCTAACCATCAAGACCGGAGGTCCCTTATCCTACAGCTTTCCCTGCCTCGGGATCTCCGGAACACCATCCTCTCCCTTAAACTTCTCAAGACCAAACTCACCCGGAGTCTGGAAGCGAGCAGACAATGCGATTCCTCTCAGCGCTATCAGAACTGAGAACGCGGCCTGCCGTCGCATTGCAAAGCAAGGGAGACGTCGGTACCATGCAAAGAAGCGAGGTGGTAACACGTGGAACACGCGGTGTGTGAAGCGCACATTGCGATGGTAATGCAGGCAACGCAGACAGGATTGGGGTGAGCACATTAACAAGAGCCTCCTGTGCTAGAATGGGCGACGTCGCCATTGCGTCTTTGTGACGGAAAGGCCGGGGCTTTCATTCGGGGTGACAAGCAAGCTCCCTCCTCAACAGCGTCTGAAGTCTGACCAGGAGGAGAGGAGGGGGCTCCCCAGCTGGGTCCCAGATACTGACTTCCAGGCCACGTGCCCTTCCCCCACTGCAGGAGCAAACTCACGAGCCCTCTCCAGCCTGAAGCCAGGCCCCAGGCCCGAGCCGCGCAAGCCACGCCTGGAGGCGGCAGCCCACTGGATTCACAGAGCGCCCCGGGAGGGCCGCGCTCGGCCATTCTGACCGAGGGAGCGTCCACTCTGCACAGGAAACCCCATCAGCTACAAACGCGGCTGTGACGAAGGTGACAGCGCCCCCCCCCCAAAAGCCGAGCATAAGCCCCTCTCGCAAGCAGCTTCGGTCTGCACCAACAGGTGCCTCCTGACCCTTTCCCCCCGTGTGGAGTTCGCACTACCAACTGAGCAACGGCCTGGCACCGTGTGCTTTCGTTCTTAGTCAGATACAGTCTTGTACTTTTGCCCCCATGGCCTCAAACCATGAGCTCCAGGTGCAGCGGGGAGACAGGTCTCACCAACACTTCTGCTGGGCTTGAAGCATGAGCCCACACCAGGCTCTTTCCAGTTTCTCTACAGTAGCCGCCTGGCAACACGTCCTGTCTGGCTGCAACTCGCCAGGGAATTGCTGACTTGATTAGAGAAAACAAAAGTTGACCTGACAGCCTTCATAGAAACCAGGAATGATTCTCCTCCACAATCACAAAGGACAGTGTCCTGCCTACAAGAAATGGTACTTTTGCAACACAGGAAAGCATCTCAGTTGCACATCTTCTGATACGTGCTGTCGTTTCCTGCCTGGAGGAAGTGAGGTTTGCGGAATCATACACACTCCGGTCCATGCTTTATGGCACGGCTGGGTGGGAATCGGGTACGACCTTTACTGATTTTATCCTTGGGACAGAGGTTGGTCACAGAAATAAACCAGCAAGGCGTCTTAAGCTTCACAGAAGCCCCCGGCGCGCCGGGTGTGAGGTGGTCGGCCGTGGAAGGGGCTGGTGGGAAGAGCAGCGACCACACCAAAGAGATCCTGCCCGCCCCTGCCAGGCGGCCTCGCCCCTGTGCCAGCCCCAACCCAGAACCGGAGAAAGAAAACCAAGGATGTGATGTCTGGAAGCCAAGGAGGGGCTGGCAGCTGGGCGTAGGAGATGGCCGGGGCTGGGGACAGTCACCGGCGTCCACCAGGAAGGGGAGGTGGACCCCGCAGCACACCGGGGGCCGGGGCTCCGACCTCACAGCTCCCCCGGCGTCACGGTTCCCGCCCCGTGCAGAAAGCCGAGGCCCAGAGAGCTGAAACCAGTAGCCCAAGTCAGTAACTCCTAGCAAGTGGCAAGGCCACAGCTCGAACCCAGGCAGTGGACTTGAGAATCCAAACCCCTCCCAAGCTCTTACTTCACACGGCCCCCCTTCCCTGATAATGAAGCGCAGCTGCAGGGCCAAGTTACCCCTCGTTAAAGCGACAGGAAATGTCCTGATAATAACAATATTAACAATACTACTACTATGTGGACAGTGACAATAAAGCAAAGAAGACGAGGCTCCAACGCTCTAGAGCTTGAGGAGAGCAGGCATTATTTTTGCTTTCTCTGACTTCGAACCCTTGAAACAGAGATGTGGTTCTGTTATTAAAAATCTTTCTTGGAGGAGCTGGGAAGGTGGCTCAGTGGTAGAACGCTTGCCTTACACACGAGGCCCTGGGTTCGATTCCTCAGCACCACATAAGCAGAAAACGCCAAAGTGGCGCTGTGGCTCAAGTGGTAGAGCGCTAGCTTTGAGCTGAGGAGCTGAGGGGCAGCGCCCAGGCCCAGAGTTCAGGTCCCATGACCAAAAAAAAAAAAATCTTCCCTGGAGGACCGGAATCGCTCGTCATACCTTAAAACCCAGGTCCCACTCGACGGAGACACAGTTGTGCGTCTGGTAACAAGTCAGCGGTGACTCCCCGGCTGGGGCAGGTCGGGTGGTAGCACAATAGAGGGGAGGGACCTGCCGCAGCCGGGAAGGGGGGGGCTGTAATGTGAACACGGGGAACTCAGGAACCTGTGTGGAGCAGCCGCGGGGGCCGCGGGGGCCAGTGCACACCCACAGGGCATCTTCGCCACGAGCCCCCCTCCCCCGCAGGCATCTGCTCCCAAGAGCAGCTTAAGAAAAGATCCCTGGGGGGGGGGGGCTCCAGGGGAAGATACAATAGTCTTCTAACATAAATAATTCCTTAACTGAGTAAGCTGGCAAATTGAATTCACCGTGTTGTCAAAAAGAAAGTAAAACCAGAAAAAGGTAACTGGAAAGCGCCAGTGTGGGGACTTGAACAGAAAATCACACAAGTCCACACACAGCCGAGAGTCAGCCGAGCCCTGCCCTTCCACAGACCAGTTTTTTATGATTTATTTTGCACAATTTTTCTTTTAAACTCTCCCAGGCATCTGAGCAGAGGCCCTTAGTCACAGCTAAGAATCACTTTCCAAATCAGTTCCGTCTGCTCGGACTCGCGTTCCTGGTCCTCTCGATTCCAGATCTGGTCGTAAACCGTGCGCCAGTGTTCCACGCTGCACAGCTGTCAAAATCCTTTCTTACGCAATGAAATAAAGGCATTCTCTCGGCCCCTTCTGTGAGGTCTGGGGAGTGCGAGCTGGGTCGGCCCGCGCCCCTCCTCCGGCCTCCCGGGCGGG